AGATAAGTAAACAACAAGTATATCTCACTTTTCATACACAGTCAAGGAGGTACATAGAGAGGACCATCGTCGCTCGGACTTGTCCTCTTCCTTTTCTACCTGGATCAGGTCATATCCTATCACATCACGAAAACGATCTCACGTGTGGTGGTAGGTGCAGTGCGTACCTAAATTGTTTCTCAACGGCAACACGAGCATGGTGTTCTCTCTGCGCTCATTCGATCAATCTACTTCCAAAAGATCGTGTGTCGCTCGCGCAGTCTAATACAATAAATATCTCGTATGTAGCGCACTCCCTCCGCTCCCTTCCTCCGCCAAGCTCCGACTCTAAGTACAAATCCCATTCGTTTAGGTACATTAGGTATTCCAACCCAACCCAACCCCACGTCCAGCAGCTCAACCTTAAAAAAACAAAGCCCCTCACCTCGCTTCGTCTCGCCTCGCCTCCTCCTCTAGAGACCCAGAGTACAGAGACCAGAGATCGGTCACAAACACCAAATTTCTCTTATCCTTTCTCTGCGGCGTGTGAGAAATCGCGCCGCCTATCCGCCATCATGAATAACGACGACGATGCTCTCTCCTCCGTCTTCAAGAAGATCGAGCGCGAGAAGGCTCTCATCACCGCAGCAAACCAGATGCGGCAGCAGACCCAGAACGAGCAGGTCAGATCGCGCCTCGACACCCAGATGCGCGAAGGCCGCCGCAACATCCAGTACCTAGAGGAGCGCATGGAGGAGCTGCAGATGCGCAGGATGGGCCAGGGCGTGGAGGGCATGAACTTGGGTGGTCCTGCTGGCGGACAAGGCAGACCACTGAGCGCAGGCTTTCGCAGCGACAGAGAGGGCCCACCTGCTCTGCCACCGAAGGATGCCAGAGGAGGGTACGTCGAGCAGAGCTCTGATCGAGGGGACTATGGTGGCAAGCAGGAGTACAGCCAGGCTGGTGGCCATGGAGACATGATGCCGCCTCGACACCCGTATGCCCCGCCTGCACCTGGAACCGGCATCCCAAAATCACGCCCGAATTTCACGAAGCTTGGTAGGTCCTGTCACCGTTCGTAGACTCGGAATGGTGCTAATCATGCCTTGTAGATCTCATCAAGTACGACACGCCTTACCTCGGTCCCCGTATCCAGCTCATGCTGTCGCAACTGGAGTTCAAGCTTAATGTCGAGAAGCAATACCTCAAGGGTATTGAGAAGATGGTCCAGTTATACCAGATGGAGGGAGACAGAAAGAGTAAAGCAGATGCTGCTGGCCGACGGGTTGAGAGTACTCAGAAGATCCAATTGCTCAAGCAGGCACTGAAGAGATATGAAGATCTACATATTGATATGGAGAGTACCGCAGATGCGCCAGATGGTCCGTCACATTTTCACCTAATATTTATACAACATGGACTAACCAGAAATTCTAGATGACAGCATTAATACCCCGAATATGCGGAAACCGCTTACTGGACAGCTTTCGATCCGGATACAAGCTGTAAAGGATGTTGACCATGCAGTGACCGGCCGCTTTACTCGTGGGCCCGAAACATTTGTTGCTATCAAGGTCGAAGATAACGTTGTAGCTCGCACGAAGATTTCCAGGATCGATAGATGGGATGCTGAATACCACAATGTTAACGTTGACAAGGCCAATGAAATCGAGCTGACTGTCTATGACAAGCCTGGGGATCACCCTCTGCCAATCGGACTTCTCTGGGTCCGGATCTCTGATATTGTCGAGGAGATGCGAAAAAAAAGGATCGAGGCTGAGATCAGTAGCTCTGGTTGGGTTTCTGCTGACCGTATGGCCAGCGGCGCCGCGCCTGGGGCACCTCCTCCACAATCAAATATGAACCCCTCGACGCCTCAGTTCGGACAAACACCTGGAACTGCGGGAGCTGGGCTAGGACTTACACCCAGTGGCGGACTACAAGGTGCTGGTGTTATTCCCCCTCAACCAATTGATGCTTGGTTCGCTTTGGAGCCCAGTGGAGCTGTTCACTTGACCATCAGCTTCACAAAGCAGACCAAGGACCGTCGGCCATTTGATGTCGGTCTCAACCGTAAAGGTGCTATTCGTCAGCGCAAGGAGGAGGTACATGAGATGTACGGTCATAAGTTCATCTTGCAGCAATTCTACAACATTATGCGATGCGCACTGTGTGGAGAATTCCTTAAATATTCTGCTGGTATGCAGTGCGAGGACTGCAAATATACTTGCCACACCAAGTGCTACACAAGTGTTGTAACGAAGTGTATCAGCAAGTCGAATGCAGAGACCGATCCGGACGAGGAGAAGATCAATCACCGCATCCCCCATCGCTTCGAGAAGTTTGCGAACATGAGTGCAAACTGGTGTTGCCACTGTGGTTATATTCTGCCTTTTGGTAAGAAGAACTGCAGAAAATGCACCGGTAAGCCCCCTCT